TTAAAAGGAAATGAGCCGGCTGATTAATTAACAACAGAAAGATGAATAAAAATACCTCCCATGGAAAAAGGTAAAGGAAAGGTAATGATTAATGAGGAAGGGTTGGATATATGACAGAAAAGATGGAGGAAGGAAGCCTCTGTGATGGTTCAAGGTTATAAATACAAGAAAAAATGAATTAAATGTGTCTTTTAACCGCATTTCTAAAAATAAAATTTCAGTTTAACCTTTTATTTACAGCTGGAGCCATGTTCAGCAGAGTGTCTCTCTGCAGGCTGTCAGGCCCTGTAGGCTTCAAACCGGAAACAGTGCCCCCTACAGGAGGAAGGCTTCAGTACAACATCATCAGAAACATTTGGACATTTTTATCTCCAGAAGTTTCTGAAATAATCGAGAAATGTTTCGGAACCACAGCAGGACAACCCTGCAGCAAATGTTCAATGATATCAATTACCGTTTACAGCAAGGCTTCGCTTTATAAATAGTTTATCAGATGTTTCTGTGAAGCAGAAATCTTAAACGTGAACAAAGCGACATCTGGTGGGGTTCTTAAGGTACTGCAGGGAGTTCATTACTTTCTGCAACCTTTGGACCAGGATTATAAACTTGAAGAATATTGTGTTGATTTGACAGAGGTACCAAAAGTTTGCATTGAAATGTGATAACTGTGGAGATGTTCTGGATTTATTTTGTTGTATATTTCAGGCAGAAAAACAAAAAGCAGCAAAATCTCGCAGTGACTCAACCCAAACATAAAATGAAATGTAAATAGTTAGTTTAGATAAAACATTGTTTCCAACAGTTATTATTATAGCCAGAATGTTGAAGGATAAACCTACTTTATGTATTGCTTTAACATAAAAGCTTAATTGGTCGAACAAGATTATTTTCAAATTCAATTCAATTCACACTGCAAAAATTATCTAGAAATAAGTACAAATTTTAGAAATTAAGTGTATTTACCCTTTATTTGAGCAGGTAAATAAGATGATTTGCCGATGGAATGAGTTTTTACTCTGCATATAATTACATAATATGCACCTGAAAACAAACAATGCAATTGTTTTTTTTTTCTTATTTTAAATGTTATTTGTCTTTTTCCATTTGAAAAGTGTCTCACTTTCCTCCTAAATTAAAGAAAAAAACACTTATTTTAAGAAAAAAAAGACTTATTTAGATTTCCATTTTTTGCAGTGCAGTTTATTTCTATAGATTCACAACAATTCACAACACACATCATCTGAAGGCACTTTATAGTTCACCAGATCATCCAGTCAGATTAATCAAAGTTTGCTATCTAAGGAAAACCAGCTGATTGCATCGACTCATTGACTCTTCAGCAATCCCTCACACTAAGCATGCTTGAAGCGACAGTGGAGAGGAAAAACTCCCTTTGAACAGGAAGAAACCTCCAGCAGAACCAGGCTCAGTGTGAGCGGCCATCTGCTGAGGCCCACTGGGGTTCAAGCAGACAGAAGCAGACATAGAAAAAGAAGCATAGATACAAAAGGAAACTGTCAACCAGCTCCAGGAAACACACAGCCAGGCAGACGAGCTCCGAGCCAGCTCCCATGTCAGAGGATGAAGAGAGCACATCCAGTTAGTCACAGTCAGAGAAACAGGACTACACTGGAAAACAGGCCAAGCTCCAACATCTAGAAACAAAGGTGTTGATGGCAGCAGCACAGCTGATATTTCTCTCCAGGATGGAGTCACAGCCAAACAGGAACAGACCAGATGAAGCTACTATGAGAAAAAGCAGAGAGAGCAGAACGTTAGAGATTGAACTAATAGATGTTCAATGTCCTCCAGAAGTCTAAGCCTATAGCAGCAGAACTATAGAGATAGCTCAGGATAACCTGAGCCACTCTAACTAGAAGCTTTATCAAAAAGGAAACTTTTAAGCCTAGCCTTCTGTTGGGTTGATATTTAATTTCAGAATCATTTGAACCTTTTGAACCTTTCTTTGGCTTAGAAAAATTTCTTCTTTTTTTTTTCCACCAGAAAAATGTAATCAAAAAATGTAGTTGTATGCGTTTTACACGTTTATGTTACTGACCTATTTGTGCTTTTTTTGATTCATGACAGTATTTAGGGATATTTTTGTTACCTATAAATTTAAAAGAACATTAATGTCTGAATCTGGTAAAACTATTGATGAAGCTGTAGTTCCTATTAGACCAGAATTATTTATTTAATTTTGTTTTCCATTTAATTAATTTCAGTTTATTTATATAGCTGCAACTCACAGCATACGTCATCTAAAGGAACTTTACAGTCAGATTGATAGAATGATAAAACTGTAGTTTCATTATAATCTGATGGATATTGTAATCATGTGATAGTTTTTGTTTTAATAATAAAGATTTTATATTTATCCAAGGTTTGTTGTTTTTGATTGTTTTTTTTTGCTTGGGTGTCACATTGTGACAACTACAGGGGTTCATAAAATCAACAATAGGTGATAAAAGTAGGCTGCTTTTCTTTTTTAACCAGTTAGAAACAACTTCAGTTTGTCACAGTTTTCAGTTTCAGGTCTTGTTCCACTCTGAAATGAAAGCATGCTAGAAATAAGCAACAGGGGTTAAAGAATCGATTCATAAACCAAAATGTGTTCAAACTTTTGACTCTTCAGTCGCCGCCTTTGGCAGATCTACAGCTGAACACACACTTCCTACTTGTTCAGAAAGGTTTTCCCAGATCTGTTGCAGACGTTTCCATCATTCTGACATCTCTGTAATGGTAAAATCACTTTCTTGCTGCAGGTCTTCCTGCCAAACCTGCAGCTCTGAGCTTTGTCCTCTCAGCTGAACCTCAGACTTGCTAGCTACAAAAATGGTTCAGCTGTATTTTCTGTTGTCATGTTTGTTCTCAGAAATCTCCTCTGCTTTAGAAGTGGCTTTAGTTCTGCCAGACCACGTCCTGTCAGTTTCCCCTAGTTTATGAATGCTTTCTGATAGTAAAGTAAGTAGTCCCTAACACCTTGGTTTTCTTTAGAGGATAGAGCTTTATCTATATGTCTCTACTCCCCATCTATTGCTTTTTTTCTCACTATTTTCTCATTTCTACTCTCTCCAACCGTTCAACTGATGCTTCTGAAGCTACAACACCAAAACCTTTTCCAGCACCTTTGATGCCGGCAGAAGAGGTGGTAAGAAATCAAGAAACGTTGGAAGACACATTTTCCTGCAGAGCAGCTTTAATTTAAACCTGTTTTGTATTTCCTGGTCAAGACTTTTTTGTTCAACTCAGAAACAGGGGGGGATTTACCATCAGGCAATACTAGGCAGTTGCAGAGGGCCCCCAAGTTCCTGTAGGGGCCCCATAAAACTCTGTTTATATGTATGGTTAATACAACTATTCCTTATTTGAGCACATTAATTATGTTTTTGACAAAAATCCTTTCTCTAAAATGCCATCAGAACGCTGATAATATTAAGTGTGTCTCAGCCCCCCCCCATCAGTGTCCACCATATTGGATCAGTCCATTTGCTGCACATGTTCAAAAGGTCCAAACAGACAGCAGCAAACCATTTGAAAACAAACCATGCAAAGAGCAGTGTTGCCAACTTAGCGCTTTAGTCGCTATATTTAGCCACTTTTCAGACCCCTTCTAGCACTTTGATTTCTAAAAAGCTCCTAGCGCCAAATCTAGAGACTTTTTTCTGCTATTGGAGACTTTGGAGACAACATCTAAAAGCAGCGAACTCTGCTCTCCAGAGCGAGTAGATTGGTAACCCCGCCTCCTGCTCTCCTCTATCTTGTCTGCTGTCATGATTCATGCAGCTATTATTTCATCCAAATGAAAAATGGAGAACAGATAAGCAGATCATGGCTTGTCTACAGTGAAAAGAAGGACTGGGTTATTTACTTTGGCCTTTTTGGAAACACAGGAAGGAGCAATCAGCTAAGTGAGCTTAGTGCTTGGAAAAAATCTTTCATTCCTTTAGAGACAGCATGAAAAGTCAGCTGAGTACAAAACATAGAGAGGAAAACAAGAAGAAAAGGGACAAGAAGAGAGGGACACAACCTAGAACAGATAATGGATGTCTATTCTATTAACATTTCTCTATCTGTAGAAAGGGGCTGTTTGATGTGCTGTCTTCTCCATTCAGAGGGGCCCCTGCCTGTCTTTGCCTAGGGCCCCACATTTCCTAAATCCGCCCCTGGTGGTAAGAAATCTAGAAACGTCGGAAGACCTGCAGGAAATAAAAGTAGCAGCTTTGATTTAAACATGTTTTGTATTTCCTGGTCAAGACTTTTTGTGCAACTCAGAAATGTAAATTATGTGTCAGTTTTTTAGGATTTTAACTTCTTTTAAACACTGATAAAATTTATAGTTTATTGCTGCTGTGTTATTTATGAAGTTTATCTTTCCTGGATGTCATAAATGTGTTTGTCTCTTAGCTGGTGTCAGATAATTATATTTCTATTCTATCCTATTTTAGTTTCTTCTATTCTATTCTGTTTGGTTCTATTCTGATGTATTATATTTTGTTATATTCTATTCTGTTCTATTCTTCTCTATTCAATTGTATTTGATTCCATTCTAATCTATTCTATACTGTTCTATTCTATTCTATTTTGTTATATTCTATTCTTCTCTATTCCATTGTATTTGATTCCATTCTAATCTATTCTATACTGTTCTGTTCTATTTTTTCTATTTTATTTTATTTTATTCTATTTTAATGTTTTCTATTGTATTATATTTTGTTCTATTCTATTCTATTGTATTCTCTTCTATTCTAGAACTAAGTGGACATGCAGTCATGCACCATTTTGCAAAGCGTTTCTTCTCTTTTTTTAGTTATTTATTTATGTTTTTAACTTTAATTCGATCTTTTTTCAGAAACGCTGGATTTTTTATGTTGGATTTTAAACATTTTGAGACACAGACTGAGATCCAGGATGATATTTCTGGACCTGCAGCCCTTTGCCACCAACTGGTGGAGCTAATGCAGCAGTTGGTTGTTTATGAAGAGCCTTCAAAGCCGCAAAGAAGACTGCAGTTTTCCGCATTCCTTCGTCACTCTGCTCGCAGCTCCGCCGCTCCGGGGGCCAGCACCGACGCGCTGCTGGGTGGGGGCCTCACACCTTCCCGGGGATCATTGGAGCAGGAGCAGCGCGGAGCTCAGCGGTGAGTTACATCATTAGATCAAATGTCTTTATTTAACAAACTAATAGTTCTTCAGGTCTTACTCACGGCCATTTTTTTAACTGGTCCAAAAAATGATCTAATTTCTCACATTTTGCTTTTTAATCTTTCACGGCGGGTGGGGGGGAGTGGAACTGTGGGGTTTTAAGGAGCCCCAGGAAATTAAGATTTAAAGGAGACACATCATTAAAAAAGCAAAAACAAACATTTAAAATCATTTTAATAAAGATCTGCCATATAGATACATTTATTAATGGGGCCTCTGTGTGTTTGGCCCTAAGGGGTCCACACTGCACCTCAAACTTGTTGTATTTTATTTATTTGGGAGGATTCTGAGCTCTGTGGGCCTTAAAGAACTGTTATCATCACAACTACTAAACATCTCATTCTCTATGACTGAATTAAATATAGCTATTTACTTACAAAGTAAAATATCCAACTAAAATGGTGTTTTTGGTATTTTTAGAGCATGGAGGAAAGATGGTGTCTGCATCTGTTGTAATAATCAATCTATAGGAAAACCAGAAAAACAAGCTGATGGTTTGAAGGCATTTGACCGACTGTTTGAGCTGAAACTGTCCTGGATGGTTAATGGATCTCACTGAGCTGCCAGTCACCTTTGTTAGATCATTAAACCTGGAAGGGGAAATGCTGCTCAGGGGTTTCGGGCTTCACTCACCTAATGAGGAAGTACCTTATTACTGCAATTCCTTTTTTGGTCTAGGGTGACAGTCTCTGTATTTATCGAAAGCTACAGACTCTTTGGACGACTGGCAGAAATCTTCAGGCACTCAGTGATTCAGGAAGCAAAAAAGTACATATTAGTATAATAATACACTATCTCCAAAAAAATCTATCTATCTATCTATCTATCTATCTATCTATCTATCTATCTATCTATCTATCTATCTATCTATCTATCTATCTATCTATCTATCTATCTATCCATCCATCCATCCATCCATCCATCCATCCATCCATCCATCCATCCATCCATCCATCCATCCATCCATCCATCCATCCATCCATCCATCCATCCATCCATCCATCCATCCATCCATCTACTAAACACTGGAATATTGCAAAAATGAGCAATCTCCTGTCCAGGGGTGATGCTGAGAAACTAGTCCATGCATTTGTTACTTCAAGGCTGGACTATTGTAATTCTTTACTATCAGGAAGTCCACAAACTGTAGTTAAAAGCCTTCAGCTGATCCAAAATGCTGCAGCCAGAGTTCTGATGAAAATGAAAAAGAGAGATCATATCTCTCCTATCCTGGCTTCTCTTCATTGGCTTCCTGTTAAATCCAGAATAGAATTTAAAATCCTCCTTCTCACATATAAAGTATTCAAATATTTATTGGAAAAACAAAAATATTTACCTATTTATTTATCTATTTTCTTCTACAGCTAAATGGGAAAACTTCTTAGTGCACACAAAGCTGATCTTCTAACTAAGGTGCCTTGTCATTGCATGTGGAAAATGGACAGCAATCTTAAACTATTAATAGTGATTCTTTTAGTCAATGTGCAGAATGTGTGCTCCACATCAGAACATGTAAAACACTGGGAGGAGGACATGCAAATGGAATGACTTCCCATCCAGAATGCAAACCACAAACAGGTTGTGGGTGCAGTCTATATTTAGCCTACTTGAAAGTCAGGTGCAAAGTCAACAGCTTTCCCGCCAAAAAAAAAAAAAAAAAGAACAGAAAGAAAGTAAAACAAAACAAAGATAATTCAGCATGTCCATGTGAAAACTGGTCCTGTAGCAAAACTCTGACTGACTGACATAAAAAAAAAAAATATCTACTGACATTAACTCAGAGCATATGCTTTTGGCAAAATCTTTACCAGTTTGAACAGACTAAAGGGATTCAGGTGGAGAATATAACCGTTCAAGATGTCGTTTTTTTTCTCCAACTAATGACGAATTTATTGACTTTGGCATTAATAATGTTTTACCTTTATGCATAAATATTGCTTCTTTACAAGAAGCCCGAATCCCATTCATTAGAAGGTGTTTGTTAGGTACACTGCAAAAAATCTAAATCTAGATAAGTCAGTTTTTCTTAAAATAAGTGCATTTGTTCTTGAATTGAGGAGGTAAAAGAGACATTTTGCCAATGGTTCAAGATAATTTATGCTTAAAATAAGAAAACACAATTGCATTATCTTATTTCAAGAGTAAAATTACTCATTCCATTGGCAAACAATCTTATTTACCTGCTCAAATTAAGGGTGAATACACTTAATTTAAGAAATTTTTACTTATTTCTAGATCGTTTTTGCAGTGTAAGTCTTAAAATTAAATCTAAAAACAGGCTGAGATCTATTTTAAAGCTGGTTTTATATTGACTGATCTCCCTAATTTGACGTATTTCTGTTCTGTATACAACAAGGCTTCGTTCTTTTCTCCTTGTAATCCTTTTATTTATTTCATTTTTTTTGTTTTGGTTTGGTCTCATATTTGCACCTGTAGTACACAATGTATAGGTTATCGTACCTATTTACATTGAGTAATCTCATGTACATTGACAAAGATGAAAAATGAAACAAACAACGGAATTTAAAGGAATAGTACACCCAGAACATGATTAGCCTTCATTTTCTACTCACCCCCATGCTGAACAACACTCTGGAGTACTTTTTTGATATCTCAAATGCATCTGGAGATCTGGGAGGCTTCTTGCTGTCTGCTGACATTCAAATAATGGAGGTCTATGGCGCCCGAGGCAGAAAGGTCCATAAAAGTCCACAAAAAACGTGTCAATATTCCTCCATACTGCTCGTCCAATGTATTCCAAGTGTCCTGAGTGGGTAGCGTCCATAATTTACTCGAAACGAAGTCATTTAGAATGTTTTTAGAGCATAAACAGTAGTGTATAGGATTTCCTGAAAGCACGCACATGCGCGATCACGACGCTACGGAAGCCGACAGACCAAACCAGCGCATTCAGCTCGGCAAAGAACTCATGCTCTTCCTCAACATTGAAGTCCTCAGACATTTTTCTTTCGTTGTTTCTTTCTTTGCACAGGTAAACAGCACATTTCTTCTTCTACGCTTGCATTATTGGCAGAGCAGACGCTGAATGCGCACTTTCATCTGGTTTGGTCTGCCGCGGTTTCCGTAGACTCGTGAACGCGCTTTTAGGAAATCCTATACACTACTGTTTATGCTCTAAAAACATTCTAAATGACTTCATTTCGAGTAAATTATGGACGCTACCCACTCAGGACACTTGGAATACATTGGACGAGCAGTATGGAGGAATATTGACACGTTTTTTGTGGACTTTTATGGACCTTTCTGCCTCGGGCGCCATAGACCTCCATTATTTGAATGTCAGCAGACAGCAAGAAGCCTCCCAGATCTCCAGATGCATTTGAGATATCAAAAAAGTACTCCAGAGTGTTGTTCAGCATGGGGGTGAGTAGAAAATGAAGGCTAATCATGTTTTGGGTGTACTATTCCTTTAACCTGGAGCAAAGCTCTGTATGAAAGTATTGTTGTTTGACGAGTCAATTCATCTCTTTTCTCCAACTCTCTACATCCAGTTTGCTTTTCAATCCCTTCACCTAACTAAATCCCAACTAAATGAACATCTCTGTTGGATAATGTCTCCCCCCCCTCCATGCATGAAGCTGGTGCTGAACTGGAGAGCTCCTTCAGTGACACTCTGCTGCACCTTAAATGCACCAGGGAGCGTTATCACAGATCCTTCCTCCCAGCAGCTGGAAGACTCTAGAACCTCCACTGTTCCCAACAACCTCAATCAGTTGTTCCATTCATGCTGATTCTGCTCAGTTTCTATTCTAGTCAGTTAAATAACCTGCTGCTGTCATTCTGCACATCTCTGATGTTGCTGCTATTTTCAAATATCCATTACTGTACAAATGTCTATAGCTGAATATTGGTTATTTATTCTCCAGGTGCACAGTTTTATATTGTTAAAACACTTTACAGTATTTTATTGTTTATCGTTTAACTGTTCACTATTATGTTATTCTTAGACATGTTTCTAAAGTCCATATTTGTGTGACAATTCTTTCTATAATCTTTTTGCTGCTGTTAAAACCAGAATTTCCCCATTTTGGGGCAATAAAGGTATTTTTCTATTCTATTCTATTCTATTCTATTCTATTCTATTCTATTCTATTCTATTCTATTCTATTCTATTCAACTCCAGAGGCGACCTTTTATCTCTTTGGAAAATACGTCTTGATTAAGTGAACAGACATAACATGTCGGGTTAAAATAAAAATAAAGCATCCTGTGTAACATTCAGCCTTTATTTTCCACAGTGGACAGGAGGACCAGCGACACGCATGTGAAGCGAATCAACATGGCCGTATTTAAGCCTGAGAACGTGGAAGACTTCTATGAGATTGAGGAAGTTCTTGGAAGGTACTTGTTTAAATGCTATGAGTGGTTTTAATGTGTTGGAGTTTTAGGCGATCCACATGCATCAACTGTTAGGAACCACCTACAGACCGGGTTTGAATGTGGGGCAAACAGCCAATCATCACTGTGAATCATTTATAACTTCCTGTTTTAATTCTTGTGAAAAAAAGAGGCTGGTCCAGGGCCTGAAGACAAGCCGTTAGGATCCAACATTCCCAGGAGTTTAGACAGCATTACGTCATAAAGATAAAAGCAAACCAACCTGAAAGTTGGGCTCAGTCTGCCTGCGATCAGAGATACACCCTAAAGAGTGTTTCAACATATAGCTGCGTCACATAACAGCATCACAGCCTCTGAAGCCTCCCCTCTCTGCCTCATATGAACGATTTGTTTCACGCTCCAGATTATTGACAGGGCTCAGCGTTTCTAGTCGTTTTGAAGTAGCCCTGGTTTATTGGGCATTAGAGCATTTAAATCTGCCAAACTGGGATGTTTACTCTGACTAACGGCTTTATTTAAAACCAACAAGGAACTATTTTTATATGAAGCATTATAAACTGATCATTAGAGTAATGCTGCCTTTGTTCTTATAATGACTGTTTATCAGAGCAAGTTATAATGACGACTGTGACATCTCCCCACCCTGCCTGCTAAAACTGCTGAGTCATTAAATCAATTCAGTTTATTTCCATAGCACCAATTCACAACACGTCATCTCAAGGCACTTTACAGTTCACAAGATCATCCAGTCAGATTGGTTCAAAGTTTTCTATCTAAGGAAAACCAGCTGATTGCATCGACTCATTGACTCTTCAGCAATCCCTCATACTAAGCATGCTTGTAGCGACAGTGGAGAGGAAAAACTCCCTTTTAACAGGAAGAAACCTCCAGCAGAACCAGGCTCAGTGTGAGCGGCCATCTGCTGAGGCCCACTGGGGTTCAAGGAGACAGAAGCAGACATAGAAAAAGAAGCATAGATACAAAAGGCAACTGTCAACCAGCTCCACAGGCGGCCCCGTCCAGGAAACACACAGCCAGGCAGACGAGCTCCGAGCCAGCTCCCATGTCAGAGAGCACATCCAGTTAGTCACAGTCAGAGAAACAGGACTACACTGGAAAACAGGCCAAGCTCCAACTTCTAGAAACAAAGGTGTTGATGGCAGCAGCACAGCTGATATTTCTCTCCAGGATGGAGTCACAGCCAAACAGGAACAGACCAGATGAAGCTACTATGAGAAAAAGCAGAGAGAGCAGAACGTTAGAGATTGAACTAACAGATTCTGCAGAGTGGGACAATAGAGATAGAATGAAGCAGAATGATGAAAAAGGGGTCCCTATGTCCTCCAGCAGTCTAAGCCTATAGCAGCATAACTATAGAGATAGCTCAGGATAACCTGAGCTACTCTAACTAGAAGCTTTATCAAAAAGGAAAGTTTTAAGCCTAGCCTTAAAAGTAGACAGGGTTTCTGCCTCACGGACTAAAACTGGTAGTTGGTTCCACAGGAGAGGAGCCTGATAACTAAAAGATCTGCCTCCCATTCTACTTTTAGAAATTCTAGGAACCACTAGTAAACCTGCAGATTGATAGCGAAGTGCTCTGTTAGGAACATAAGGAACAATCATTAGTCTGCATATTATCTGGCAATTTTAAGAGTCTTAAGGATCAAAAGCAACATCTTCATGAATTTTGAATAGTATAGGCGGTGCATTTCTGTGTTCTCCCTTCCTTGGGAGACCTACGTAGATCATCGGCTTACAGTCAGTTTAAATGTAATTTACTTTTAGTTTATCACAAATAAACTACAGAGAACATGACCTCGGTATCCTCAATGCTAGTTACGGCCCTGGAAAGAGTTGTTCTGTCGTCCTGAACAAACCTCACAGCTGGTTCTCTGTACTAGTCCGTGGACGGCGTCCTCTCCGTCTGCTGGTATAATTATAAACGCCATCTAATAGAGATTAAAAACAGTTTAGATCTAGTATTCTGCAACTGGTATTCAAAGGTCTCCCCATCCCTGTTTTAACTCTGTCTTTGAGTGGGACTTTACAGCTACTTTAAATTTTCATAAAAATTTCACTTTACTTTCACTTTTCATCATCCTTTCTAAAAAAAACAAAAAAAAAACATTCACAGCCTGAGCACCTAACATAGAGCAACCTATAAACTGAGGTGTGAATCTTAGCACTTACAGACTTACAGTGACTAATAGCCTCACAGAATAACGTCATTCTGGATATTATCAGTGCTGCGTCCATCTGCAGCTTGTTGGATGTTTTAGAACAGACCGAATATTGTCCAGGTTTCACTGCGATGCACAGATATTAGCTTGCAAACGAGGATCTGATGATCTTATGACGTTTTTTTAGGCCTAATCGCTACAGTGTTAAAGCCTTACTAATTTAAAGCTCTGCTTGCTTACACTGCTTCACTATACATTTCTAGCGTGGCAATAAACATTGGCTCTTATCGGACTAAACATATAACGAATACAGCTTTCTGCATATTATGTTTTATAATATAAGCAAACATTTTATGAGCCTGAATCATCTGTTTCTGTGATTGCGTTCTGTGATGCTCTCCTTTACTGTCAATGCTCAGATTAGAGGATCCGGTAATTAAGGCAGACAGACAGATTACTCAAAAAGGCATTTATTAAAAAAATGGCGGATCTGCAGTAACTGCAAAGACATCTAAGACAGGAACCTCTCTGGCAAAGAACCCAAGAGGTATCAAAGGGAAGGTCGAAGTCAGGAAGCAGATCCAGGTTCAGTCCATAAGCAGAATCCAGCAGGAGTTTGAAGACAGGTCAGGCAAACAGATCAGAACAAGAAGAGGCAGGCTCAGAGGTTCAAAGGTTTAGGATCAGGCCACAACCAGTTACGCTAGAACACTAAACAATCAAATAATCTTGCACTGGGAACAAGCAGGTTAGAGACTGGTGATGAGAAACTGGGCGGAGCTAAACAGGTGAACGGAGTGAACAATCAAGCCAGTCGTCAGCGCCAAGATCATGACACAGTGGCTACGTTCACACCGCAGCCTGAAGTGACCCAAATCCGATTTTATGGCCCATATGCGACCTGGATCTGATCTTTTCATGGCTGTCTGAACAACACAGATCCGATTTTTTCCAATGCGACCCAGGCCGCTTGGGAATCTGATCTTTTCAAATGCAACCTGTCTGAACGGCCAGGTCGCATTCATCCGACCTGAACGTCATTAATACCCGACATAGGTCACTATTCTGCGTCTTGCTACACAGAAGCGGCAAGAAAAACAACAACCATGGCAGATGATGATGCGGAGAGCAGTATTTATGTTTAACCATATGAAAAAATTAAGTTTTTATGGTTTGAAAAGACCGTTAGTTGCGCGCTGGCACTACCATCCATGTTTACTTCCGTAAACATGGAGCATGCTGGCCTGTGACGTCATTGCGTCCTCTACTGCGCATGCGGGACACTTAGACTGTATGACTGCAGTTCACATAGGAGATCACATACAAGTCGCATATATTTGGAAATATGAACGGCAACGTAAAACAAAAATCGGATTTCCCAAAAAAAATCGGAATTGAGCATCAAGGCCTGCAGTGTGAATGTAGCCTTAATGTTCTATGGACAGCTGACCTCAAGGATAACACTCATTTAATGTCTTTTAATTTTAGTTTAAAGTCTTTTAACCTTTATTTAAACTTTTTAATGTTAGGAAACGTCTTTTAAGCGTCGTTTAAAGTCTTTAAACCTTCTTTTAAACTCTTTTAATGTTAGGTAAAGTCTTTAACCTTCATTTAAAGTATTTTAACCTTCATTTAAAGTCTGTAGTGAGTCAGCAGCTCCAGGAAAGAAACCCACACATCCCTCTGCTCACTTAGACTCTTCATTATTCTGGGGGATCCAAGGTTTCCTCAGCCCAGGGGAATAAGCAGAACCTTCGACAAGTTCTGGGTCTGTCCTGGTAGTATTGGAGTTAGTATGATGAATATTGCTGAAAGGATCTTTAGATGCTGCAGAATTGCAGGTGTTGGACAGACAGTGTCTGGACAGGTCCTTTAAATGCGTAAAGCATATTACCACAGTTTGTTTTCCTTTAGGGGATGCCCTGTTTGTGTAGATCTTTTCTCCTCATTTGATAGTTTTAGTATTTTACTGATAACTGACACAAAGCACAGGAAGAGGCCAGCTCATTTTGAACGGCCTGCAAACTGGGGATTAAAGAAGGTTTATGAAGTCAGAATTCTGCCACAAGCTCTCCACGCACATTTGAATGTTTTTGTGCATGGAGAGTAGCCCCCCCCTCTAAGCCTGATCTTTATGTTCCTGTAGATTCTCTCCTAGTCGTGTGTGGACCTGTTTCTGTAGCTGTCTTTCAAGGAATACCACCTCTGCAGACAGTACTATTTTTGTTTTCTCACTGTGGCTAACACTGCAAGCTGTCTTCAGTCTAATTGCTGTTACCTATCTCTTACCACCACTGGGAAGTAGGGCTTCATTATGTAACCAGTGGGTTGCTTGTTCATGGCCCTGTTCTGTCAGTTTCAGTCCTCGTGTGTCTCTTGCCTGCAGGTTAGTGGCTGATTTTATGGCAGCTTCTAAAGCTTATAACCACCAGTTTGTAAATAAGTGACCGTGATGTGAGGAGATTTAAGTCCCTGAATTTGATACAGCACTATTCAGCACAGACCATTTTACCAACACTGTGATATGTAGGGGGAGTGGCGACCTAGTCGTTAGGGTATAGAGCTTGGAATCCGGAGGTTCTGAGTTTAATCCCAACTCCCACAGACTGTGTGGACCTCTGAGCAAGACCCTTTACCCCACACTGCTTCCGGGTTCCAGCACAATCGCAGCCCCCTGCTCCCCAAGGGAATAGGTTAAATGCAGAGAGTTCATTTTGTTGCTCTGTACTTGTGACAGTGGAATGACAATAGGAGCTTGAAAAAAAGAAAACAAAGAAAATAAATAATCAGAAATAAATTCAATTCAGTTTATTTCTATAGTGC